GGTGTGGGTGTGTGTGTGTGTGCGTGCGTGCGTGTGCGTGTGCGTGCGTGTGTGTGTGTGTGTGTGTGTGTGTGTGTGTGTGTGTCTGTGTGTGTGTGTGTGTGTGCGTTTGTGTGTGTGGAGAACATAATCATCCTATCATAGGGACCCGATTCACGGGAACCTCTGCATAATCCACTCACCTGCATATCCAAGGAGAACCGTTCACGCACGAGGTTAACAGAAATGCCTTTACAGAAAGCTCACCCTGCAGACTCAATCAGTGGAGCAAACATGTCAGCAGAGGTGGGGATGGAGGAGGAAGGTGGTGATGGCCGAGGGTGGTAAAGGTAGGAGGGAGTGAAGACGGCATATCCGTCATCGTTGGTATAGTAACCGACAGACGAGGGGCGGTGCATCCCTGAAGGTGCTTTTCACCGCTTGTGCCGGTTGTGGTTCATCAGAGGGCGATTATCCTCTGGCTCCCAATATCAGGGTGAGAAGGGTGGAGTGGTAGGTAAGAGGGGGGTGATGTAGATCTGTTGCAGAACTCACCATGTGCTCTGATGTCAGCCTCAGAGATGTACTCATCCATGGCTGCCATCACTCAACCACAGCAGAAGGAGACACCCACAGGAAGTACCAGACTGAGGTCTGTTGCTGCCGATCGCCGTCTCACTTCTGGAGTGGAATTCTGTGATGCACAGAGATCCAGCAGCAAATAGAATAGAAAAGGGACAGGGCCTTCCAGTCTCAGCTGGCTATGCCAGGAGGTACTTCCAATCTGTAGCACCGAGAAGGCGGAAACGGAGAGCGCATGAGAGGCACAATATAGACTGCAAAAGCGACCAGGCTGTGGGTTTGGCCTCCTATCAAGTGAGGGCTTGGGAACCAATTGGCCCGCACCACTGTTATATCGTGGGAGCGGAGCGCGTGTGGGGCGAGCATGCTGGGAAGAAGATATTATGTGCAGCAGGGGGGGGGGGTAGATCGGAAGATGTGCTGATGGGTGGATAGCTCGTGAGATCGAAAGTGGGGCTTTGCTCTTCCTGGACGGGTATATGTGTAAGCTGCCGTGGTGAACGGCACTGGTTTGGGCCGCGTGCTGGGGTTATGTAGGCGGGTTCGGAGGCGAAAATGAGTGTGTCGGGAGTGGGTGTGGCGCGAGCATGTCCGGAAGGAGATGGTATGCGCAGCGGGCGGGTTATACCCGGTATACTCATCTGACAACCCCCACATTCTGGCAACCCCCACATCTGCGTGCGGGGGGGAATGTAGGTGGGTTGAAAGGGGAAGAAGAGTGTGTCAGGAGTGGGTGTAAGGCGAGTATGTTGGAAATGAGATGGTATGTGCATTATACCTGGTATACTCATGTGGTAGCCCCCACTGGTTCGGGCTGCGTGCGGGGGGTGGCGTAGGTGGGTTGGGAGGGGAAGATAAGAGTGTGTCGGAAGTTGTGTTGAGGGGTGGATAGCTGGTACGATGCAATACCGGGGCTCACAGTTCCTGGGGGGTATGTGTGGGGGAGGATGTGTGATGGCGCCGTGGTGAAAAGCGCTGGTTTGGCCCAGGTGCAGGGGGAATGTGGATGGGTGGCAGTGGGCTTTTGGGTGGGAGGCAAATGGTGGAACCGAGCTGGTGCAGGCCATGGCTACGGCAGGGTGGTGGCGGTGCATTGTACATGTTTACAGGGGACGATTTGGTTCAGGCCGTCGTTTATTTTGTGTGTGTTCAGTTCTGAATGTTATTCCCAATCTAAAGCGCCCTTCTTCCATTCATAAACAAAACCAATAGTTAAAATCATTAGAAACACATGCTATTTGTGCACGGGTAGCAGAGGTGGCAGGTTTTTGAGCGGGGGGAGAGTGGTGTGGGTGAGTTAGTGTACATTCGATAGTCGTTCTGCTACTTACGCTTCGATTCATTTTGTCCGGTTTCCGTTGTTTTTCCGAGTCCTGGGCGTGATTTCGGCGTTGCTGTGCCATGTACTTCCACGGTTACATTCAGGCAGTCGGGGGTAGGGCACAGAGTTCAATTTTTTATTTTGAGGTGCTGTCGGGGGTACAGCCTTGGTTATGTTGGGGAGAGTGAATCGTGCGGCGGTTCTGGTTGTGTGAGAAGAGAAGTTTTTTTTTTGGGGGGGGGGGGGGGGGGGGGGG